AGAATATGGGCTCTGTTGGTATTTACATGGGAAAGAATGTGTGTCCTGCCATTGAGGTGTGTATAAATGTCAGTTGCATTCTGTTGGTTGGTGTTGGATTCTTCTATATCCTTACTGATTTTCTATCTAGTTCTTTTATGAATTGTTGAGAGGAAAATGTAGTCTCTGATGTAATTGTGGATTTATTTCTTCTTTCAGTTCTATCAATTTTTGCATCCCTTAATTTGCAGCTCTGTTGTTGGATTCATACACGTTTAGAATTGCTTGTCTTCCTGATAGATTTATCCTGTTATTACTATATATATTTCCTTGTATTTTGGTATTTTTTTCCTTCTTTTTTGGTACCGGGGATTGAACTCAGGGCCTTGTGCTTGCAAGGCAGGCGGTGGCACCACTGAGCCCTGGCCCTTTTTTTGTCTGTTTGTGCTCTGAAGTCTCCTTTATCGATATGAATATAAGCGATCCACTTGTCTTTTATTTATTTATTTTTATTTTTTATTTTCTTATTTTTTTTGAGACAGGGTCTCACTATGTAGTTGAGACTGACCTGGAACTCACTATGCAGCCCAGGCTGGTCTCGAACTCACAGCGATCCTCCTGCCTCAGCCTCCTGTGTGCTGGGATTACAGGCATGAGCCACCACACCTGGCTCCCACTTGGTCTTTTGATTAACATTTGTATGAAGCATCTTTTCCCATACTGCTCCCAGTGTGCCTACATTTTATAATTGCAGTGAATTTCTTCTACACAACATGTGGACGAGTCATAGTTTAAAACACATTATGCCAATCTTTGTCTCATAATTGGTGTATTAAAAATATTTAAATTTAGTATAATTATCCATGTTAGAGCTTAAGTCTGCCATTTTAGTTTTTGTTCATCATTTGCTCTGACTTTTTATTTTCTTATTTCCTGCCTTCCTGTGGGTTACCTGAGGAATATTTTTAGACTGCCATTAACTTACCAGAGTGCTTTTGAGTATGTCTTTGTTCTTTAGTGGTGGTTTAGGTTATTATGTTATGTCTGTGCTGTTGTCTCATTATTGGTTGAAGTGAAATGAAGAACTTTCACCTTCCTTGCATCCACGCTTTTGTTCGGTTTATTTTTTGAGACAGAGTCTCACTATGGTGTTCAGGCTGGCCTTGAACTCACTCTGTAGCCCAGGCTGGCTTCAAGTTCTCAGTAATCCTCCTGCCTCAGCCTCCCTAATGCTGAGATTACAGGTGTGCACTACCATTCTTGGCTCTTCACCCTTTTATAGATAATGTCTTAAACATTTCCTCTGCATATGTTCAGAATCACATCAGACAATGCTACAGTTCTTACTCCAGCTGTCAAACATGATTTAGAAAAGTCAACAGGAGAAAGAAAACATATTTATCTTTAACTGTACTTTGTCCTTGTTCTTTCTTCCTTTCTAATGCTCAGTGATTCTTTTTTCATCTTTTCTTTCAGGAGCGCTCTGCTGGTGGTAGATCTCATTTTCCTCATGTTTCATCTTAGGAGGTCCCTGAAGGAAATTCTGCTGGGTATGAATGTGTAGGTTGACAGTTCTTTCCTTGCACTCCTAGAAATGCTGGGCCACTTTCTTCCACCCACTGGCTTCTCCTGAAGGGAATTCTTTGGAATCACTTTCCCCTGTAGATAAGGTGTCCTTTTACTCTTGCTGTACCTTGTTGTGGATTACTGTGGGTTTATCCTATGTGGGGTTTGCTCAGCTTTTTGAGTCTGTAGGTTTGTACATGTTGCTAAATTTGGGGAGGTCTTCGTTATCATTTCTTCGAGTACTCTTTAGCTTTGTACTTTTTTTCTTGTCTTCTGCAACACTGATGTCATGAATTCTAGGTTCCATCCTCTTTCCGATGGAGTCATTTCTGTTGTTCTTTGTTCTCTTAGATATTCAGCAGTTCTCATGATTCCTCCGTTCTATTATTGTGCAGTGTATTAAAATATTAATCTTACAAAAAAAACACACTCGGAGCAACACCTTTCCCAAACGCCAGAAAGCCTCATGGTCTGGCGAAGCTGACCCAGAGTAGTGACAGTCACATCATTTCTGGACTGGCTTTTGTCCTTCAGTTTGTGCTCCTCCCGTTCTTGGTATGACACTGGGTTTCCACTGAGGATTGGACTTTTTTTTTGGCACCAGAAATCGAACTCGGGACCTTGAGCTTGCGAGGTAGGCGGCAGAACCACTGAGCTAAATCCCTGACCCTGGACGTTTTTGATATTATGCTTTGCATAGAAGCCTTCTGTTACAGTGGCTTCCTCTGGGAAGGGCTGCTGTCTGGTCAAGTGGGAGTGGAGGTCACCGGCCTCCACTGGTCCTTGGTAGGGCTGTATCCTTACTGTGGGGTGGGGGTGTAGTCCTGGCTCCCTTGCGCCTCAGGGACTTCCTTGGTGGGGAGGGTAAGGTTTGCCTCCTTGCTCGCTATGTGGTCTCTACGTGCTGTGTTGGGGGCTGGCCTTATTGCTGTTGGATGGTAGTGAAAGTCCTGAGTCCCCATCAACTTCTCTGATAGCACCTTAGCATGGAGGAGGAGGATTCCTCATGACTGTGGGTGGGACTGGGTGTCTGATTGTTCCATGTTGTCTCCATGCGTACTACAGACGGGCCAGGATTCAGTCGTCATGAACCACAAGCTGAGGAGCAAAGTCCCCACTCCCTGCTTCTGACAGCCCCCTAGTTTGTGTTCCCCAGTGGTCTTGCCAAAAAGAGTGGGTGTGGCACTGCCTTTTTCCTTGTGATAACATTTGGCTGGAACAGTGCAGCTGCACTGAAAATTCCATCTGATGTCTGCCATCTTACTGAGCTGCCCCTTTCTTGGCCCTTTGCTTGAAGACAGTTGGCTTCTGTGGGAGCGTGTTTTGTTCATATCCGTTGCCTTTCCAGACTGCAGGCTCCTTCAGCTCCAAGCCTGGGACACACGAGGCAAAAAGAAAACCTGGGGAACTGGCCGTAGCTCCTGAGGTTTCTGCACCTCTCGGAGTCTTTCTGTGCTTGTTTTATACATGATGTTCAGGGTGTTAATTGTATTTGGGGAGAGGTATGTGTCTACTGCATTTTCCAGGGGCGGAAATCCTGATTTGTTTTTAAGATGAGAGTAATGTGACCTGGTCACTGTAGGGAGGGTCCCGAGAAGGAGCTTGCTGGCTCCCGGAGCTCTACTAGGTGACAGGGTAGAGGCTGCAGCAGTGACTTGCTCCTCATCCAAGAGGAAAGCAGCCTGAGGGTACTTGCAGGAAGGCTGGTGGCTCTGTGACTGTCTGGTCCACAGGTCTGAGTCATTCGTGGGTCAGGGCAGAGGTGTAATCCAAGAGCATGAACCCCAGAGCTGAGAGTCTCAGTGTCACTTATCCTGGGGGTACAGGGGTCTTGGCGACCGGTCTGAGTCAGTGTTCAAGAATCAGAATCCACAAGCTACTGTCAGACTCAGGGCTGTCCAGGGTAGAGTCTGCAGATCCTTCTAGGGCTGGCTGGTGCCAGAGTTATATATCCTGACAACAGCCATGGAGAGCTGCCCCAGCCTTGTGACGTTGCTAGGCTGTCCTCCTGCCTCTTCTGCTGGGGGCTTGGCCCCAGCGTGGATTCTCTGAAGGGAGATGCAGAGGGTCAGGTGGTGCCCACCCTCTGCACCCGCCTCCCTCCTGGTTTGCTGTAGCGCTATACTCCCACGGAGAGAGGTTCTGTGTAGTGTGAGGAAGGGGATGTTACCAGGACCTCTGCCATGGGTCCTGGCCTGTGAGCCAACACAGCACAAGGTGAACTCAAAAACAGACAGAAACCAGACTTAGCATAGAAAAGCTGAGTCTTGGGTCCTGGTCAGTTCTGCTGATGGCAGCAAAGACAAAGGCCCCAAAAGTCTGCATCTAAGCACCTGTCAGTGGCAGCTCCCGCCACTGTGGCCCTATGAGTCCTCGCTGTGTTCCCCAGAAGCCCTAGCGGATAGCTCTACCCTGTGTCTGGCCCGAGGGAGTTGGGCACCAAGGCATGATCTGAATTGCTGAACGCAATGAAAGGCATCCAGTATTTATTGAATATGATTGTGGGAAGGAACAGGGAGCAGGGTATGCTTTGAAGGCATCTAGTGAAATACTGCTGAACAGCTGGCATAATAGTGCCGTGCAGGCCTGGGCGTCAGTACTGTTTACCTTGCTTCCATAGATGAGACTGGTACAATTAGCAGGCAACCCATCGGGTCAGTGAGAAGCCATAATTCAGGGGAAAGGGTTTTAATTGGGGTCACGCTGACCTCAGCTGTGTATAACTTAGCAGAGCCCTGCCACTAACAGACCAGGGCCTAGGTTTCCGTGGCAGCCATGGGAGGGGCTGTGCTCGCCCAGGCCACCTTCTGACACACCCATTTGAGTCACATGGAGCGTTGGTCTGATGCCACTCATAGCCTGCTAGTACTAGGCAGGGATGTCTGCTACAGTTTTGCACCCCTTAGCCAAGTCCACTGGGATCCATAGATGGCAGCTGTGGAATCAAATTGGATTCATGGAGCTGTGCTATTAAAAGCAAAGTCTTTGCTTTCAGAAATTCAGATCATGCCTGGGTGCCCGGCTCCCTTGGGCCAGACACAGGGTGGAGGCTTCTGGGGAACACAGCAGGGACTCATAGGGTCACTGAATGGTAGGAGCTACCACTGACGGGCTTAGATGCAGACCTTTGAGCCTGTGGGGCTCCTCCGGGAAAATTTCTTTGGAGCTGCTCAGGGAGGCGGTGAGTGTCTGACCAGGCAGAGGCCAGGCATGTAGCCTTGAGCAGCCAGCCTCTGGCTCCCTGATGATGCTGGGATGCCCAGCATTGCCGGGCAGTGGTGGAGGGCTCTGTCCTCAGTCCTGTGGGATCTCCAGCCCAGGGAGGGTCCATGGGCTGAGCCTGGACTCCCCACCTGAACCCGGTGTTTGCTTCCGAGGAGGCCTGCGAAGGCCCAGGCACACCTTTGTGGCCAGGGCTGTGTTCTGCTTGTCCTTCATCTCCTCCTTGCTTCCAGACAAATGACGCAGCTGGAAACACCTGGAACTGGCTCTACTTCATCCCTCTCATCATCATTGGCTCCTTCTTCATGCTCAACCTGGTGCTGGGCGTGCTCTCAGGGTAAGACCCTTGATGTTCTCAGGTGGGGGAGCAGGGAGGAGTCATGTGGGCTTCTGTTGTCTGCGTTCTAGCGGCCATTACTTTGTGCCAACCATCCTACATGTCCCCGGACCATTCAGTAGTCTCCTTCCCTCTGTTGAATGTTTGGCCTCTGCCCTGTCCTGCTGTGGGATGGGGCCACTACTGCGTCTCATTTGGGGATGGCCTGTGCTGGGGTTTCAGGCAACCTCAGTGGCCACAGGGAGCCCCGCTGCTATCACAGCAGGGTACGGACTTGACTCATTCTTGGCTCGCCGTCCATCCAGCCCTGACCTGGGCTCCTCCTTCTGCTCAGGCCACTTCTTTGTGCTGAGTTCCCCCAGGAGAGGGCACAGGGCTGGGAGTTTTTCCTGAGAAAGGTGTTCTTGACCTTTCCTGGAAGTGGACTGTCGTGTGCTGGCAGTGGGCACACAGCACCCTGCTGTCTTCTACTGGGCTGGTGGAATTCGCACAGGATGAGGAAGCTGTGTTACAAAGAAGGTGGAGGGGCTTGGGCCTGGCTTGCTTCCTTCTCCACCTGAGCACCAGACTGCCTGTAGACATTGTCATTCTGCCCACTCTGAAGACCTCTGCTCAGGCCTAGGACTCTGGAGGAGGGCTGGCATAGAGCCCATTGGCCCCAAGGGCCATCTGCCATGCTGGCCTGGAAAGGATCAGACAAAGAGGACAGCAGCTGGCAGAAGCCCACTTGCTCTAGTGCTGGAGCAGCCATAGCCTTGGCTCTCTCCCATGTGGGATGATTGTCACTAGCATGTCTTTCAGGTGCTCTGCCTAGAGCAGCAGAGGAGGTAGATGAGACTTCCTAGTCTTCTGGGGAAGCCAGGGGCTCAGAGGAGGCACTGAGGAGGGAACCTCAGCTGAGACCCAGGGAGGAAGGAGAGGTTTTCAGTCGGAGAATGGCTGGGCTAGGGGCTCAGTGGGATGGAGACACATGCTGCATGTGTGCTACAGAGGTAGAAAGGTGTGTCATGTGTGCACTGTGGGGTGGAGAGGCTTGATACTTGTATGCTACGGTAGGACGGAGAGGTGTAGCTCATGTGCGGTGCATGGGTGGAGAGGGATCGTACTTATGCCTTGAGGTGGAGGAGAAGGATATGTGCGCAGGCGGGATGGAAAATCTGGGCACAGATCTGCTTCAGAGGTGCTCAGCTGGAGCGAGTGTGTGGTGGGGAGGGACGTCGGGCTGACGCCATGGTAGCAGTCGGGCCTTGTGAGTTCATGAGCTCTGGACATGTGCACTGCACAGGGAAGAGTTGGCCAGCATGCCAGGTGGGTGGGAAAGTAGAGCTCTCAGGGTTGCCTCATGCGACTCACTCTGCAGTGTGTGCATACAGAAGTTGGGTGTGGCAGGAGCTGTGTGGTGATGCTGTGAACCTCTTGTGTGCTGACCCATGGTCCTGGCCCCCAGGAGAGGGTATGGGATGACTTCCAGGTTGGCCCTCCTGGGCCTCCTGTCCAGGCCAGCAGACAGACCCAGGGCTTCCCTCCAGTCCTAGGAGACTGGGAGAGGGTTAGGTCGGCCATGCTGGGCTGCTGCCTGGTAGCCTATTCTGGTCCCTCTACAGCTCTGCTTGGTCTCTGCCAGCAATGCAGGAGAGTCCAGCGTGCAGGTGCTTCAGACTTGTTCTTCCTGCCTGTGGCCTCTGTCGGGGGTTGTCCTGGGATCCTTGTACCCAGTGAGGACGGAGCTCAGGGAGGCAAGTGCCACAGTGGTCCCCAGGCAAAGCAGTTGCTCTTTGGTGGGATCCAAGCCGCCAGAATGAGATTCTGCTCATGGCTTTCAGACCAGCTCCAGCAGTATCATCACTGCTTCCCCCAGCCCAAGCCCTGCCATTCCTGGGGCATTGACCAGGGAGCTGGCCTGGGCGGGAAGGCCACAGTGGACCCTGTCCTCCTGGAGACTCAGGATGTGGGATATGCAGAGGGGAAGGTAGAGGCCTGGGCAGGACTGTCTCCTTTCACTGCCTGGGTGGCAGCAGCTCAGCTGCTGGTGGGCACTGGACATGGGCTCGAGGTCAGTCCTGTCATTTGTGCTGTGGCCTGAAGACCCCTCCGTAGGACCTAGGAACTTGTGTGTGTGTGCCTGCAGGCCTGTGTGGACTCAGATGTGAACGTGTGTGTCTGTGTGTGCGTGTGAATGGCTTTCCTTTATGTCTGATCCTAGGACCTCGGCTGGGAGGCTGGGGCTGGCGTGGCATGGACATTTCTGTACTGGTTACCCAGCTATGAAGAGCTTGGGTCTGGGCAGGCTTAGGAGGGCAGAGGACCTCTCTTCCTGCTCATTGTGAGCCTCAGAGGTTTGGTTGCAGAAGTCCACATGGCCTCTGCAGGGTTTCCCTCTTGACTCTTTTGCCCATCCAGTCCTTTCTTGCCTGCTTCCTGTCTGTCCCGTCCCCATCCAGCAGTGGCTTTTGTGCCTCATCTGCAGACAAGAGTGGACATTATCCTGTGTTAAATGCTTTCAAGAGATCTCTGGGTAGCAGATTAGAAGCCCAGACTTTGGGTCCATGCCTAGGCCTGCCTTGGTCAGGGGCTGGGGTTGTCTCTGCCCTCCAGAAACCCTCTCTGTCCCTGAGTGATAGAATCTGAAGAGGGTCGTCTCGGGTGGACAGGGAGGTTCCACTGAGAAGCAGTGCTGCCTGGTGCTGTCCAGCACACAGGTTGGAAGATCGTGGCTGGAAGGGCCCACTTGGAGCCGCGGCCTCTGGGACTGCGTGCCAGCGGATGTGTGCTTTCTGCACTCATTGCTGTACTTGCTTCCCCTGCCCTGATGTGGTGCAGAGAGTTTGCCAAGGAGCGAGAACGGGTGGAAAATCGCCGTGCCTTTCTGAAGCTTCGACGGCAACAACAGATCGAGCGAGAACTGAATGGGTACCTGGAGTGGATCTTCAAGGCTGGTGAGAGTCCGAGAGGGCAGGCGCTGCACCCCTGACCTGCCTGCTGTTTCTGTCTCCAAACCTGCTCTGCCTCTGGGGTGGTATTTGGCGGATGAAGGTTTTCTCATGAGGAGGTCTTTCTGTCCAACTTTCCTGGAGCCCAGGCACCACGCAGCTTCATGGTGCTGAGGACGACAGGCTTTCAGCTGGAGGTTTTGGGTGTGGCCCAGCCTAGAGCTGGTTTCTATACCTTAGACTTGAGGATTCTGCCCTGGGTCAGAGCCCTGGTTCTGGTCTCTGGGAATTAGGACTTTGTGGCTCCCTTCTTTGGCCCTGGTCAGCGGTCTCCTCCATGGGGCTGCCCTTGACTCTTGACGTTTCACAAATGTTTCTACTGTGATCATCTCTCCTAGAGGGAGAAGTGTGGGTGGAGAAGTGAGAGGGACTCAGCGCAGGGTGCTGTCTGGTTCTTCGTCAAAGCAGCCCAGCCACAGGCCTGCCAGTTGGAGGGGTGTAGGTGCAGAGGTGGTGGATTCTTTCAGGTCTGCACTCATCTGAGGGCACTGCGGGGGGCCTGCCCTTTTGGGATGGGGCAGGAAGGCTCTGACCAAGGCTGTGTCCCTCACAGAGGAAGTCATGCTGGCTGAGGAGGACGAGAATGCAGAGGAGAAGTCCCCTTTGGATGGTAAGTGACTCTCGCTGTGGAGTGCGGTCCTGGGGGCTGGGTGTGCAACGTCCTGTGTGCATGCTTGCCTATTTCCCGTAGGACACGCCGCTGTGCTGAGCATCTTACGCATCACCACAGTAACCAGACGCAGGCCAGGGCCTGAGCCTGGCCTCTGACACCTGCACACACAGGCCATGGAAAGCACTGTTGAGCTCGCTTTGGCAGTACATATACTAAAACTGGAAAGCAGTGTTGGACAGAGCTGTTCAGAGCTGTATACCTGCAAGTCTGAGCTGAACTCTCTGTCCTGGGATTTGGGATGCTGCTACTCTCAAAGGCTATGGAAAGCTCCTGTTACCCCGGCCACGAGTGGGGCTGGGGGCAGGCACTGCTGTGCTCACTGGCACGGCTGCCAGCACAGGAAGGCTCTGCCAGGTAGCTGCACACCTGGGGCTATGAGCAGGTCAGCACTGGCTTTGCCCCAGGGGAATGTTTCTGGTTTGCCTGATGGCCAGGCTTCCCCACTGGCCTCTTTTTAAAGAGAAGAGAAAGCAAACTCATCTTCAACATTCCTTGTCTCCCCTCAAGGGCAGAGAGTGGGCTTTAGAGGGCCTGGAATTGTCCTGCCTCAGCTTCAGCCCCAGCTTTAGGATAGGAGCTCAGGAAAGGCGGCCTGTTCTGTGAGGGGATCAGTTGCCATCATCTGGGAGGTGCCCTAAGATGGATTTCCTGGGTAGCAGCTCAGAGTCTCTGCTACCCTTTGTTTAAAGCAGTGTTGAAGAGAGCCGCCACCAAGAAGAGCCGCAGTGACCTGATCCACGCAGAGGAGGGCGACGACCGCTTTACAGATCTCTGTGCGGTTGGTGAGTCCCTGAGGTCCCCAGCTCTGCCTGCTCGCAGCTGCCCGGGGACTGTACCTCCAGCTTCCTTCCCCAGCCGCTCCTGGCTGCCTTCTCGCCCAAATGTGTGCTCACTCATCACAGTACACTGCTGGCTGTGGCTATGTGGACAGGGAGCCCAGGCCCGCGTAGATCCTCGGCTCTGAAAGGACAGAGGTTTCCACATGTCTCTCTTAGCCCCTCTGTCTCCCATGTCCTGGGCCCCAGCCCCTGCTGTTCACTTGGGGAGCAGAAGGCTCCAGTTACTCATCCTGCTGAACTGTTTCAATTCCCTTAGGACTAGGAGCGTCTGGCACTTCCCGTGGTCTGGCCCCGTGCGTCCTGCTGCCCATGAGGATGCAGCCAGGGGTCCACCTGCTGCTGTGTGGGGAAGCCAGATGCCGGGTGGGGCCGGGTGTCGTTGTGAGGGTTTGTATCAACCCACTGGACTCACCTGCTTTCCCACAATCTGAGTGAACCAGACCCACATCTGTGTCTTGCTAAATCATTACCCTTGTGGGATAGAACTCTTTACATGTGTGCACGCACACTCACACTCTTTCACTTTTTTGCTTTCACTCAGGCCAGGAAGCCCATGTTAATCGTGTAGAACGTACATTTCCTTATTTCCTGCTCATCTCTGCATGCCCAGGCACACATATGTATGTAGAATTAGTGCAGCTTTTTATGTTACAAAAATAATTTTCCAGCCGGATATGGTGGTGCACGCCTGTAATCCCAGCACTCGGGAGGCTGAGGCAGGAGAATCACTGTGAGTTCGAGACCAGCCTGGGCTACATAGTGAGTTCCAGGTCAGTCTCAACCACATAGTGAGACCCTGTCTGAAAAAAAAAAAAAATTCCACAAATTTTCTCATGGATACCTTTTAGAAACCCATCTCTAGTCTGATTTTGTAAAAGCAAGTAAAGGGTATTGAAACATCTTTTTCTATAGCTTGTAATCACTTAAATAACTCTGAAATTATCTGTTATTTGTAGGTGAGATAAAACTGTGAGCCATATAAACCCAGAAGAAAAAATGAAAGAGGGAAAGAAGGATGAAAGAAAGAGACAGATAGAACTTGATCAGTCTTGTTAATTATACTTCGTTATGAAATCTTCCATTTTCTCTGGGTGCTCAGACTTGTTTCTGCATGTATATTCTCTTATAAATTCTTCCATCTCTCCTGTATTCAGTCATTTGTGTGTTTATTCACTCAATAAATGTTTATTGAGTGCTTGCCTTTGCCACTAACTGAAAAGCATCTGAGGAACAGAACAATGAAAGTGCTTCCTCTTTTGGAGTTTTCATTCCAGAGAGGGCATCAGGCAAGTAGGAAATTAGGAAAAATGTATAGTAGGTCAGAACTGTACTCGGAGGAGAGCAAGCTTGCGGGGAGTTCTGAAGGGACTGGGGGTTACAGTTCAAAGGCCTCAGGACAAGATTTGCCTTTCAGCAAGGAGCTGAAGGAAGCAAGGGAGCCTTCCCCAGCAGGGTCAGGCCTCGAGGCTGAGTGTGCTGGCCTGGGAGGACTCAGAGGCTGCAGGTGGGTTGGGCAAGCAAGGGCCCAGGCATGGGTGGGTCTGCATGGTTACCCTCTGGCTTCTCTGGTGGCGGGGTCTCTGGGTCCATGTGGATTCTGTGTTCAAGATAAACTGAACTAGGGGAGGGACAGAACAGTGAGTTCGGAGACTTGGAGGTGGCAGGGAGGGGAATGCTGAGTGTTTCTATTCCAGCTGTGTTTTGGAGAGAGACGTGCAAGGTGTGCCGACCACTTGGTTGTGGAAGCGAGAGAGACATGGAGGACAGCTCCATAGGTTTTGGCCAGGTTATAGGAGGGCCAGAGTAGCTCTGCCTGGGAGGCAGAATTGCAGGGGAGGGGTTGTGGGCCCTGGCTTCCACCTCAGTTCAGGACATGCTGAGTTTGGGTATGAGATGGAGGGCAAGGCAGATGCCACACAAGCATTTGCGCTGGCACCTGGCGAGTGGCCGGAGTGAGATACGAGGATGCTGGGGAGCATGTGCAGGCCCCAGCTGCCTCAGATTCACCCACACTGTCCTGCTTCCCTTCAGGTCCCAGTGTGTCTATCTTTGCTTTTTTTCTTTTTTCTCAATCAGGATCATATGGAATATATCTATGTCCCTATATTTGTATGATCATTTTAGATATTGGATTTTAATTTTTTTCTCTTTTGGTTTTCAGTTTTAGTTTTTTATATTTAAATTTATCTATTTTTTATTATTTGCTTAGTTCTTAAAAATACATAATTAGTTCTTTTTTGTTTTTGATAGTCAAGGTCTTTTAGGTTGTGCATTTTTCTCTACATAAAGTTTGTTGTAATTTCTCCTTTAGGTCAGTTTCTAAATAATCTTTGCTCTTTGGGTTAAAAGTTATCCAGGAGGGCTGGGGATTTAGCTCAGAGGTGCTGCCACCTGCCTCACAAGCACAAGGTCCTGAGTTCGATTCCCAGTACCCCCCCAAAATTAGAAATAATAATCAAAATATTGTAACTATCAGTTAAGAAGCATACTCCTAGATAACTTTTTTTGGGGGGTACTTGGGATCAAACTCAGGACTTTGTGCTTGCGAGGCAGGTAGCTACACCACTGAGTTAAATCCCTGGCCTATTATTTCTAATTTTATCAGGTAGTGATTGGGAAAGGTCTCTTATGAATCGCTACACTTATAAGTTTTCAAGTTGTAAGCTCATAGATAGTTTTTAAACTTCATTAGTGTAAACATGAGTGTGTCCTATGCCTGAGAGATATCAGTGTGTAGGCCTGTTTGTTGGAGTCCAGTTTGTTGATTGTAGTTTGCAGTTCTTTGTCTATGATTTTTATCTTCTGGATCTGTCTAGTTCTGAGAGATTTTGAGCATTCCCACTGTGTGTGTTTTTCATAAAGTTTCCCTTGTGGGTATAATGACTTTTGTTTGTTTACTTGGCCACTGTGGAGTTTGACCAATAGGAAGTTAGGATTGTTGTGCCTTTTTCGTAAGTTATCTTTGCTCTGTGCACCCTGCATTAGATAGCTCTCCCATGCCTAATGTTAAATGCCACCCACTCTGCTGTTTCTCACTATTATGGTTTTTATTTTTAGATTACATTTGCATGGTACCTTTCTTTTCCTCTTAAGTTTTTGTGAATCTTATTTATCCGGGTTTTGCTTTCTTTTCTTTAACTGTCTTATGTCTCTGTTTTGTTTTGTTTTTGTTTTTTGAGACAGTCTTGCTATGTAGTTCAGTCTATGTAGTTCAGTCCTTGAACTCACTACATAGCCCAGGCTGGCCTTGAACTCACAGTGATCCTGCCTCAGTCTCCCAAATCCTAGGATCACAGGTGTGTGTCACCATGCTTGGCTGGTCTCTGTTTCTAATGGTAGAGTCTATTTCTATTTTGTGTAAGGTTTGATATGTTTTTTTCTTTCCTCATTACTTCACGTCTATTATTTTTATTACATTACTGTTTCCTCTCTTCTTCATCTTTATTTTGCTGCTTTGGTCAGTTGTTTTTTCTTGCCCTGTCTCCTGCCCTTTTTTTTTTTTTCTTTTTTATTGAGGATATTGGTGCAATCTAGGTATACAAATACAGTTACATTCATCATTGGGATTCTGTACCTTTACATAATAGGTCTTGATTCTCATTTTTCCCCTTGTCCCTGCCTTCCCTTCACCCCCTCCTCCCCTCCCCATTTACAAACACTTTATTTCCATTTTTTCAGTTTCTCATATTTTTTTCCTCTCCCTTATTACCTTTCCCCCACCCTTCCCACTTTCCCTACACCTTTAGCCCTTTACTTCCTATTTCACATTATTAATTATCTCATTAGGATCCTGTGTACTATTATAGTTTTTCACACCAAAGAAACTATTCGGTATTTCAGTTAAATCTCTGTATGAACATTAAAAATAGGGAATCCTAAAATAAAACTAAAAAGGAAAGTAAAAGAGAAAAGGCAATGATGTAACATTAAAATAATCCTTAATTCTGGAGATGAAAATTGTCCCTGAACATATTTAAATTGCTTCTCGCTCTTACAGTTTTATCTTATTCTTTTTTCATTATTTAGAGAATACTTTATTAGTTTCTGTAATCAAACCCACGTAGATATGACCTTACATATTTAGTACGATGTGTTACCCCTGTACACATGGAAAAAAAAAATAAAATACATTAACATTTCTAGACCAATATGGTTGTCCATTTCTGTACAGTGCCAACTCAACACAGTAAATTGGGATGACTTTTTCCAAAGTTGGCAGCACTGTTAAAAGTTTCCCAAAATTCAATTCAATTTATATATGTGTGTGTGTGTGTGTGTGTGTGTGTGTGTGTGTGTGTATTTGTCTGGATATTATTCTTTTCTTTGTTTTTTTTTTAATGGAATGTGCTGAATGTCTATAATTTTGTTCAGATGGCTGCAGAACCTGGAAAAGCTGTTGCTGCTATCGATCCTGCCCATTTTTAAATCCCAATGTCTTTTTTTTTTCCTATTCCATAAATGGTGTCTTCCCTTCTCTGGTTTCATAGTTAGAAATATGATTCTTCACAGATTTAGTTTGGTTCTTTACCACTCTCACCACCAGGGTGCATTCTCTGCATCACCGAATTGTTCTGTTTCCATGTATTCTGTCCCAGCCTCATTCAGTAAAGGCTTCCCTTGGACTCATCCTGCCCCTGGTGGAGCCAGGTCACTGTTCTTGGCACCTTTGGGATGCCCCCAGGTTCGACCATCCTGTCTCTGCCTCTGCTGCACATCTCCGAGGCCTCGCCAAAGCCCCCAGTTGACTTTTTGGCGTGCTCTCTTCTCCAGTTGTGGCTCACCACAGGCCCACGACCTTGGCTTCAGTCTGGCTCTGCCCTTTGGGGAGTTCTCGCTCAGGCAGCATGTGGTAGACTGTGTGCCTTTGAGTGCTCTCAGGAGTCCTTCCTTGGTCCTCGCCCCCAGTGGAGACCTGGGCTGCTGCAGCTCTGTGGGTGTCACTGTGTCTTGTAGCTTCCTGCTACGCACCAGCCTGGGTACTGCTGTTTGTGATGTGTTCTCTGCCTGGTGTCTCGGAACAAGGGCCTTCAACCTGCAGGTCTGCTTCCACGAGGAATGTTTTCTTCCACTTGTCTAATTACTTCATCTCCTTTCCTGTCTGTCTTTGCTTCTAGAACTCTTGCCATTTTTTTGCTCCTTTAGATCTCTTATGTTACACTTCCCCTCCATTTTGGAATATTGCTTATGCTTGTGTCCTGGGCTATTGGGGTAGATTTCAGGCCCAGAGCTGTCTCATTTATTCTACTTGACCCCACATGATAGGCAGTTTGTGTTATTTTTAAGTGAAGAGCTTCCAGGCTATGTGATGTCACCTGGGAAAGGGGTGACTGCATTTGGGTCTGTATCAGCTTGTGGCTTGACCCATGTCACTCTCACTGCCCTGTGCTAGGCACAGAGACACTCATGAGGGACTCCTCTGCCTCCTTACTGGCCCCTGGGAGTTGTTGAAGGTGGGGATAATTTTGATCACTGTTTTTCTTTGCCTTGTTCAGGGCCTGACACAGTCTCCCTGTTAACTGAACAAAAAGTGTTGACCAGGGCTACCAAGGACTTGGTATGAGCTCACCCTGCCCTGCAGCACCCAGGAGAAAGAAGGCTCATATGTGCTGCATCAGGCCTTCTTCCTGTGCTGAACTCTGCTGCCTTTCACAGATTGCTTCAGTTTTCATTTTCCCTTTGCTCGAAGATACCAGATTTTTTTTTCTTGAAATTGGCTTTTTCATTTTATAGAATATGTAGTGATTAAGCTAAATCTGGAAAAATGCAGAAAGTTGACAAGAAGTGGTCCCTATCTTGCATGGTTTCCCCATGAAAGCTGGGATTTGAATGCTGTATTTCTCCATTTCTGGGAGACCTCCTGCTTTTTCTGGAGCCGGGTGGGGCTGCTGCCTGGCACAGAATTGAGCACAGAGTGTCTGCCAACTGAATACTGTCTGCAGAGATTGCATCCCCACCCCAGAGACCCGGACCCAGGAGTGCTCTGCAGGAGTGTTGACCTGGGCTCTCTGCTCCTGGAGCCGGGACATCCTGGTTTCTGTGGAGCTGGGTGGTGTCTCATTCCTTGGTGCTGCTGGCCGCTGGCCTGGAGTATGAGTGGCCTGCGGAGCTGGAGTCTTTGCAGGTCACGGTCTCTTCACCCTTCAGTGTGTAGGTAGAGTGAGGAGCTGGGGGCCTTCAGGGGACAGTGTGGGCAAGTGTGGTTTTGCACAGATCTGGCTGTTGGCACGATTGCACGTCTCTGTGTGTGTGGGCACAGGTGGACTTGTATGCAGTATGGACAGGCACTGATGAAAGATTGTGTTCCTGTAAAGCCATCTTCACGAGGAGCTGGCTAGTCCTCACGTGGGTATGTCTGGTGAGCCAGGTGCGACGGTCCTGGGGTCTCCATGGACTTGGCTTTGTGTGCACACAGTAGTGTGTACAGCTCATTGGTCTCCCTCCTTCCCAGGGTGGCCCTGCCTGTGTTCATGGATGTATGCTGATATGCATGCTGGGAAATGTGTGAGCACATATCTGGCTGGGCCAGGCGTATGCTGTCAGATGTGCATGTATGACTAAGTAAGGGTATGTGGGCTGCTGTGTGCTGTGCATGTTCTGCCTGTGTATAGGCCTGTCCTTCTCTGTGCTGCTGTGTGCCTCTCCCTAGACTGCTGCTTGTGAGCAGATGGTGTCTTGTCTGAGCTGCTGGCAGTTCTCAGCATCCAGCAGGACTGAGAAGTCCCATCAGTGAGCCAGCTCTGACTAAGGGGTAGGAATTGTCCGGGTGCATCCAGGCCTAGGTTGTGGGAGGAGGGCTGGGATAAAGCAGTACCTTCTGTGGGTGTGGGTCAGGTGTGGCACCCAGAGTTGTGCATTTGCAGTTGGGCCTTGTAAGGCTATTCTCTGGCTGATGGACACTCCTTGAGGCCCTCCTTCTGGGCCTTCTGGACATTATCTCCCCATCTGTCTCACATGGCCACTCAGCTCATGCACGAATTCCAGCAGGGCCACTGAGAGCCTGGGCATGTACTGCACATGTGTGAGAAACACACATTCTTACACAAGCCTGCATCTGTGCATGGAGACTCCAGGCCCAGATGGTAAAGCCTCTGGTGGCATTGGCTGGGCAGCTGTGTGCTTACTCGGAGGGCATCCCAGAGAGGCACATGTGTGATCCTCAGCGCCCAGAGACACTCTCCATGGGTACAGGCGTGCCCTGCTGCAGGGGCACTGTGTGTCCAGTAGACACTGCCAGGCACAGGGACACAAGATCCCCTAGGCACCCTCGAAGCCCATTTGGTTGTGTGTCAGACGCTCATTGATTCTAACGCTATGCAAGGGGCTCAGTGGTTAAAGGGCCATGTGGCCCCATTCGGGGTGCTTGCAGCTGGGAACTGGACACAGAAGAGGCCTGTAGGCAAGCATAGTGATGGGGTAATGGAGTCACATCACGGCTGGGACAGTGAGAAGAACCCTGTTTTAGATGGAGCACCCCGAGAAGGGTGCCCGTACAGGTGACATTGAAGCCAATAACTGATGCTGAGGAGCCAGCTGTGGAAAGGAGATGCAGAGACGCACTTTGTGCCCAGGAGGTGGAAGGGCTGAGACAGAGCAGAGGTGGTTCATGGAAGGGAGGAACTGTGGTGGGGGAAGCAGGGAGAGCACCAGGAGTCAGGTTAGAGCAGGGCCAGCTCAACCAGAAGGTGAAGATTTACGGCTTTGTGGGCAGGACAGTAGCCAATACGCATACATAAATGCATGTGCATTATGGGGGCCTGTGGTGCCGACCCTAGGTCAGCCAGTGCTTCAGGACTCCCAGGCCATTGTGTAGAAAAAGACTAGCTTGGCCAGATGTACATCCTGGGGAAGAAACTTGGAGAGCCTGCAGAGAGTGCTGGGGTGTCAGGGCTGCCTTCCCGGAAAGTGGCTGGGTGCCAGGGATCAGAGATAGAGACTGTTCACCATCTGGCCCAGTCCAGCTCTCCCATCTGGTGCCCAGTAGACCTGGGGATCACTGAGGCCCTCATCTGACAGGTAAGGGTGGGGCCACAGGGTGTGGCAGAGGCCACAGTCCCCTACAGCTGGCCAAAGGTCTGGGGATGTGTCCCTGGGGGTGGGCGTGGCCTAAGGGTGTGTCCACAGGTACCCTGGCTGGTGGAGTCCTGGGGCTGCTGGTCCCTATTCCCTCAGCAAGCTGTCTGTTTGCAGGATCCCCTTTCACCCGCACTAGCCTGAAGAGTGGAAAGACAGAGAGCTCGTCATACTTTCGGAGGAAGGAGAAGATGTTCCGGTTCTTCATCCGACGCATGGTGAAGGCTCAGAGCTTCTACTGGGTGGTGCTGTGTGTGGTGGCCCTGAATACACTGTGTGTGGCCATGGTGCACTACAACCAGCCACAGCGGCTCACCACGGCACTGTGTATGTACCAAGGGCACTGTGTCCAGGTTTGAGGGTCCCTCTGCCCCTGTAGGCAGGTCCTGGTTGGTGTGATACAGGTCAGGGGGTCCTAGTTGCTCAGATGTCCAGGGCCAGGCCTGGCGAGGCAGACCTGTGTCCTTCGCAAAAGGGCTGTAGATCCATAGACCAGGGGACTTTGTGTTGTGTTCCTTCTGCACTGAGATTGTGGCTCCTGCCCTGGAGTCCCAATGAGGCAGAGTCCTGGCTTCTGTACTCTCCCAGCCTCTTCTGGTCATTTTCATTCTCCTTTATTATTGATTGAATGTAGGGATGTTCACGACTAGAGCTGACTTTTGTCCTGTGTCCATGAGCCCGTGGACTATCATGAAGATCACAGTTGTGCTTGTCTTAGTCTCACCTGTATCTCAGAGAAGGCAAGGAGGGAGATGCCAAACGGTGGGGCTTCTTGTGTCTGTCTCAGTCCAGGACCGACACGCAGAGCTGACCCCTTTGTAGGCCCTGTGAGCCTCTCAGTGTCCCCTCATCCCCACTCGGATCAGCTGTGTTTATGCTGGTTGGTGTCTGCAATAGTTCTGTGGAACAAGACCTGTTTTGGGCTCCCAGGAGGGTTTGGCTCTCTCTAGGAGAATCTGTGTGCCAGAAGCTACCCAGGACATCTAGGAGAGCATTTTCTGCCCTAGAGAGCAACCATCCTGACTCCTAGCCCTGTCGGAGCTGCCTGACATTCTGCCCCCAGTGGTGGCCTCACCATACTCCTGAAGGCAGCCACACCCTCCTGTGTACCAGGAAACTGTGCAGCTGCTGAAGGCTGCTTTGCAGATTCTGATGGCTCCAAAGGAGACAGGTGCATGTAGGCTGTGCTGGGTTGGAGTCTGGCCTACAGCTTTACCACCTTCTATGTTGAACTCTTGTTACTTGTGAGGAAAGGGCAAAGAGGGAGCTGTCATGGGAATCCCAGTCATGCTTGTTTTAGGAGCTGAGGAGTATCAGCAGATGAGGCAGGGTGAGGTAGTTATGGCAGCTGTGTGTGTCTTGAAGTAGCCTGCTTGGCTCTAGTTCTTGTGTCCTGGAGGTGGTAGTTTGGCATCAGGACTTGGATAGGGACTGAGTTCAGTGCTGCCCTCGGATGTACCCAGTAGGGGTTGGGGGAGACAAGGAATCTGCTTCCTCTTCACCAGCCAGCTGGGCTAGGCCCATTCTTCCCAATCAGGAACCAGCGGTGCCCTGCTCATCTCATAGTCCGTCCTGACTTCTGGGTAGCTACTGCCTGAGCCAGCCAGTGAGTGTGTGTGTGTGGGAGCTGAGGCAGCTGCTTGTGCCTCTAATGGGCGGGAGCACCTGGCTGGGCTGCCCCTTTCTGCTCTCTTTCTGTGGTTTTCTATAGTTCCTGGCTCCACTGGCCTCAGTAGAGGAAAATGACAGGAGGGAGAGGTGGTGTTTGCTGGTTCTGGATGTTTCTGCCAGTGCCCAGATTCTGTGTTTGACAGCCGGGCTGACCTAGTAGGAGAGGGCAGACTTGGACCAGCTTCACCTTGTGGCCCCAGCCTGAGACCTGCACCCTGTGTCCTGTAGATGGGGCTCTGTGTAGCTCAGCTGCTTGTCCACTGAGAACTCATCCCAGTGCTTCTCCGGGATCTTTAGAACCCAGACTTGGACAGTGAAGGGAGAGCTGTCAGGCCTTGTCATCCTGTGAGCCATGAGACTTCCCTGTCCTCCCCCTGTTCCACAGCACACTGTCCTCTTACTATACAGAATGCCATTTTAATCGTCTTCCTCTGCTTCCCCCTTGGTTGGTGAACTGACAGAAAGGCGAACCTGTCTCTTGTGCCAGTTCATACGGCACTAGCACCTGCTAGTTGAATGACAGGAATGAGTGAATGAGTACCTTTCTTGGCCTCAGAGGGAAGGTAGGGGGTTTGAGGCTGAGCCACATCAACAAGAAACATGCTGATCCCTTTCCCTGAAGGCTTCGCCTTTGGCAGTCCTTGCCCCAGCTCCTTGCAAAGTTCCCATACTCTGATTCCTCAGGAGGCAGCTGAGGACCTGGCAGTCTCACCCTGAGGTCTGGTGTGTGGGTGGGTGGCAGTCCTCCTGTCCTTTTGGCTTCTCCCTAGTGGCCCTGTATGCACAGGAGCCTGGGGCCACAGGCAGAGCCTTCATGATGAGTGTGGAAGGACTTGGGTTTCCTGCCAGGAGCATTGGGTCTTTGCAGGCTGCTGTGTTTTCCTGCATTTACTGGGGCACCCAAGCTGAACTGTGTGGGTGCAGCTTTCCTGCTGTATCTCACTCCCGCTAAGTAGCACAGCCAGACCAGGTATCTTCTATCAGCTAGGCAGCGTCAGTCCTGCTGGGGATGGTCCTTTTTTCTCAAGCAAGCCTTGCCCGAGGGTCAGTGGCATCTGTGCCTCTGATGTTGGCCTTGCAGCTTCTCCAGGTAGTGTCTCAGATCCTTCTTGTTGTCCTTTGCTCAGTGTGGGAACCTAGAGAGTTTTTACGTGCTTTATAGGCTAGGCTTGTGGTAGGTGAGTTGCTCCCAGCAGCTGGTTGTTCAGGTACTCAGGCCATTTGGGAAGAGGTTCCTTCCCTTCTGTCTGTTTGCATGGTGCCAGGTGGCTGTGGAGCAAGCAACTCTGCTTGTCCTGGGTCAGGACTGTTGCCTCTGTAGGGAGAGGCAGATTTCAGGGTGCACAGGGATAGGAAGCATGTCTGTTTTATCAGGAGCAGTGTTTGCTTGAGTCCCATGTCTTGACAGAGGCCTGGGAAGGCTGGGCTAACCCTGACCAGTTGTGAGTGTTTCAGTAGTTTGACTTTATTCCTTCCTTTGGCTCTGCTCTGGTCTCAGAGCTGCTGCCTTGGTTGGAGGCCTGGGTGCCCTTGGCCTGTGGGCTGAAGTATTCAGTTGATTCTGCTTTGGTAGGAGGAAAAGACAGTGGCCTCAGGCAGTGGACATAGAGGTGCTAGGGAGTTACCTCGAGTCTAGCTGGGCTCCGCAGGCTCCCACATGTACTCGTTGCCACTGGAGGCCTAGCACTGGAACCACTGTGGAGTCACTGCCTTTTCTTACTCTGACTTTCTCCTCCTACTTGGGCTGTGCTAGTGGAGTTTGTGTGCCCTCCAGCATCCGTGTGGTCTTCCTCTAGGCCCGACTCCCTGGAGGTATAGTAGTGCTATTTCTGGGACTTCTGGGTCGAGCCCCCCTCCTATCCCCATCCTTATTGACAGAGCAGAGGGTGGGCTCACACAATCCCTTGGCTTGCTTTGTTGCCCCTGGGGCTCTTGTTGGAGGACCTTGGTTGCTTGGTTATTGGAGTTTTCCCTCCATTTGCGCAAACACATGATCAAAGTTAAAATCATATGGTGCTGTGGGGTCCCAAGGAGGGTGTCAGGAAGTCCTTGTGGTGGCAAGGGACCTGACAAGGAGGCTGAAGAGCCCATCTGCAGAGTGTAGAGCTGGAGGTGATCCACAGCCTGGCAGCCCCAGGCCTCCTTGGAGGTGTCCCCTGTGACCTTGGGTCTCTCTCCTGAGCTGGTCCTGGAGTTGTGTCCCATTGGCCTTGGGCATTCATTACTGTCTAGACTGGGACGAGTGTCTCTTGTGTCCCTTTCAACGGTTCTTTGGTTGAGCTGGAGTTTCAGTCCTAGCAAGGCTTGGAGTCTAGCACTAATCTCCTTCTCCAACTTCTCCTAGACTTTGCGGAGTTTGTTTTCCTGGGTCTCTTTCTCACCGAGATGTCCTTGAAGATGTATGGCCTGGGGCCCAGAAGCTACTTCCGGTCTTCCTTCAACTGCTTTGATTTTGGGGTGAGTGAGATACCTTGTTAAGGATTCCTTTGTGGGTTGGGTGTATTGGAGGGATATCCTTGCCTGAGTGTGTTCACAGCCCTCCCCATATGTGTACCCCATGTGGGTTGAGCTTTATGGTCCTGTATGGGTCCCAAAGGCTGCCTAAGACTGAGAGGTACAGGGAGGTGGCAGAGGGAGCCTGACTCCTTGCCTTCACGGAGGGGAGTGCAGTGCAGCCACTTCCCGTTGCAGGAAGTCATCCTTTCCTCCAACCCTGTCACAGAAGCATAGTCATTGTGGGCTCTATAGCGTCTTCTGCGCAGCATCTTGTCTCTGCAGAAGGCAAGGTGGGAGACTGTGCTTCTGACCCTACTACTGACCCTGCTGTCTGTGGATCCCACTCCTTGGTGATCCTGCCCTCTTTGGAGTGAGGGACATAATGGGCCTGGGTGAGGGAAGGTTCAGGACAGCTTGTGTGAGTGTCCACACCAGGGCCAGGGCAGGGGCCACACAGGAGTCACCTTACCTGGCCTTGGCAGAGTGTGTGGCATGGATCTGGCACACTGCAGAATTTGCCATCACTGGGGGCTCCTGGACCTCATGGGAGGAAGCTTCAGCTTGAGGATTCAGCTTTACTTGAGCTCCTTTCCTGGACACTGAAGCTTACAGTTGGCACAGCACCTCTGTCCACTCTGACCTTAGAGTCACACTGACTCTTGCAGCTGATCTGAGGCCCAGCTTTCTGTCCTTGGATAGTGATCTATTCTGGACCATGCTGCCTGGGGCTCTCTCTGGGGGCTGGACACTTGTGGCTCTGACAGATGGTCAGGAGGCGTCCCTTCCTCTTAACCTTCACCCCCTGGTCACAAAGAAAGGTTAGAATATGGGTCAAGGTGACATGAGACACATGAGCCTTTTGGGTGTGTGTCGATCTTCTGATACCGGCTGACTAGATCACAGGACCCAGGGCAGTTTGCACATAGCTAACAAGTGATTCTAAAACATAGCAACTTTAAACCACTAAAACCTATTCTCTCACATCCCTGTGGATCAGGAATTCATGTGTGGCTTAACTGGGTACCTCTGGCCCAGGTCCCCCTTAAGGCCACCAGCCAGTTGAAGAGTTGCAGTCACTCCAAGACTTCCTTGGCATTGGAGAGTTTGCTCTTTAGCTACTCGCAAAGTTGCTAGCAGTCTGGGCCTGGGTCGCAAGGCCTCTTTGTAAGCTCCCCACATGTTTTCACAGAATGGCCACTTGTGATCTGAGCCAGTGGGACCAGGAGGTGAGGGGATAGGGAGGAACCAAGTGGGAGCTGCCTAAACTCAAAGAAGGATGTATCCCATCAGCTTTGCTGAGTTCTTGTCAGGAGGCCTAGCCCGCAGCTTAGGGTCATGCGGACTGTCTCAGACTGACTACCATAGGCTGCTCTAGTAATTCCCATCCACACCAATGTAGGATACACTCAGCTGCCCCTGCTGTTCACAGTCTCACCGTGTTGAAACATCAGCTCAAGTTTAAAAATCTCGCCTCGATCAGGTCTAGGTGGAGTCAGGGTGCCGTGGTGTGGTTGAGTAAGTGCCATGAGTGGCCCAGGTATGTCCGAGGCACCGTGGGTGTAGTCTGGGTGTTGTAGATGTGGTCATGGAGCTAAGGGTATGGTCAGGGTGCTACAGGTGTGGTCCAGGCACAGTGGGCGTAGTCTGGGCACTGTGTTTGTGGCCCCACGGAGTGCCATAGGCGTACCCTAGGCATCATGAGTGTGGCTCCCCAAGTGTGGTGTGTGCAGTGCTTCTTATCTGTTGCCTGTGACACTTGACGGGTTATCAACCTCTGCATCCAGTATCCAGTGGAGACACCTAGGGTGCCGTAGACGTCCTGTTCAGAAAGGGGCCGGTGGCAAGCTAAGAGAGCCACTGGCCTGTAGCTGTTCTGAACTCTGCCGGATGAGTGCTGGTGATCTGTGCTCAGCTCTTTCGGCCTGGGGCGCCCTCTGTGTGTCTCTTTTCGTGAGAAGTAGTCCCTGTTTTCAGGTGAATAGTTTTCACAGTCTATTTCTGACAGTAGGATTTGGGGAATCCAGGAATTTATTTTTGTTTTGTTTTGCCTTGGTCCCTCTCAGTCCAGGCTGGTGACATTTCTATATATGTCTTTTAAAGGTGTTTTGGTATTTGAGCATATCTTTGTGGGTATGTTGTGAACCTGCTTGGGCTTCAGCCTGTTAGATAGAAGCCATTCCCATACTCTTTGAGCTAGACTGGTCTGCTGGGTTTCCTGCTGAGATGATAAGGATCAGCACCCTCTGGTTCTGGATGGCTTGCTACCTCTGGACCTGAGCTGGGAGATGCAGTCCATCTCTTTGGGCCTAAAGGAACATGCCACTGTGTGCCTAGAGGTGTGACTGAGCACTGCCCTCAGGCATTGCCTTTGATCTAAACAGATGTTCCATTCTCACCCTTGGCTTCACCTTTAAGACCATGCCATTTCTTTTTTTTTTTGGTACTGGGGATCAAACTCAGGTCCTTGTGCTTGTGAAGCAGGTGTAGAACCGCTGAGCTAAATCCCTGGCCTACTGTGCCGTTTCTTTTTTTTTTTTTTTTTTTTTTTTTTTTTGGTACTGGGGATTGAACTCAGGACCTCATGCTTGCAAGGCAGGCAATGGAACCACTGAGCTAAATCCCCAGCCTGTGCCATTTCTTAATGTTGGCATCATTTTATATCTGGAGAGACAACATTTTCAGAACTGCACATCCTCACTTTTTCTTGTTGAATGACGCTTTCCTCAATGTAGCTCTTTCCTCTCACCTTTGTCAAAAGCAACAGGAAGACCCCAGGTAGTACTTCAGCACTTAGCTTGGGAACCTCCTGAGGTAGATAAAATCTCCTCATTCATTAAAAGCACCTTTTCCCCCACATAACTGCAGGCACCAGTGGCTAGACTTCCTGCCAATACACAGCAGGTCCCCACTTTCTTTACTTCCTAGTAACATTCTTTCTCCACTTCCCTGAAGATCCTGATGTGTGGCATTCTCAGTGTCTATAACTCTATAGTGTGGTCAGGGCACTTAAGTTTTCACTGACATGCTGCTGAATGCCTGTTCTCTGGCTCCAAAACTACTCCTACAGTTTAGTTTTTAGTGTAGTAGCACCCTTCTTCTTTTTTTCTTTTCTTTTTATTGAGGATATTGGTACAATCTAGGTATACAATACAGTCACATTCATCATTGGGATTCTGTACCTTTACATAATAGATCTTGATTCTCATTTTTCCCCTTGTCCCTGCCCTCCCTTCACCCCCTCCTCCCCTCCCCATTTACAAACACTTTATTTCCATTTTTTCAGTTTCTCATATTTTTTTCCTCTCCCTTATTACCTTTCCCCCACCCTTCCCACTTTCCTTACACCTTTAGCCCTTTACTTCCTATTTCACATTATTAATTATTTCATTAGGATCCTGTGTACTATTATAGTTTTTCACACCAAAGAAACTATTTGGTGTTTCAGTTAAAGAAATCTCTGTATGAACATTAAAAATAGGGAATCCTAAAATAAAACTAAAAAGGAAAGCAAAAGAGAAAAGGCAATGATGTAACATCAAAATAATCCTTAATTCTGGAGATGAAAATGGTCCCTGAACATATTTAAATTGCTTCTCGCTTTTATAGTCTTATCTTATTCTTTTTCATTATTTAGAGAATACTTTATTAGTTTCTGTAATCAAACCCACATAGATATGACCTTACATATTTAGTACAATGTGTTACCCCTGTACACATGGAAAAAAAAATAAATTAACATTTCTAGACCAATATGGTTGTCCATTTCTGTACAATGCCAACACAGTAAATTGGGATGACTTTTTCCAAAATTGGCAGCGCCGTTAAAATTTCCCAAAATTCAATTTATACGTGTGTGTGTGTGTGTGTGTGTGTGTGTGTATATATATATATATAGA